GCAGCGCGGAAGGCTGGACAATGTGATGCCCCTGCAGACAGACGGTGTGCGCCGTCGTGCGGTTGAGCCTTTCCTTGAAAGAGTTCCAGCATGTGGCGTTGCAGCTCTCGACGGTGAGTCCGAAACCAGCGGGGCAGGGCGGCTCGGGGGGGGCCTGCAGAAAGTCGAAAGGGCTGGTGGTCCCGGTGAGCTGGGGGGCCCCTGGGTGACTGACAGCACACGCTGAACTGAAATCGCAAAGTGGCGAAGGGGGAAAGCTGCCTCCAGCAGCTCCCTCAGAAGACGACCCGCTCGAGGATGTAGCAGTCGACGCCGCGGCCGCGGGCGACGAACCAGACGAGCTCCCCGTCGCCGCCGATGCCGAACTCCCTGACCTCACACTCGACGGAGTGGCTGAACGACCGCGCTTCTCACCCCTGCGCGAGACGGCTCGGTCATCGGTCGTGGGTCCTGGCACTGACGTCGGCGAGGCCGCCGACCCACTCCCCTCCGAGGGAACGCCCTCGGCGGGGGGCGGTCCCCCTCCATTATCCTCCTTGGGGGGGGGGGGCCTCTGGCAACAGTGACGGCTGCCAGGGGTGGGGGTGGGGGGGGCCTAGCACAGCTCGCCGAAGGAGACGAGCGGCACGCAGAGGCGGTCCCAGCACCCGATGCCGATGCCGACCGCGTCGAAGAATTCCCGCGACTCGGCAGCCTAGACTGGAGCCCAGTCTTCGCCACGTCGCAGTAGCTGAATCGTACGCGGCGTCCCCTGGATGTTCGCGTCGAACTTCCTCCGTGTCTCAAGATCCCTCGTGTCGTGCTACCCCTCAGACTTTGGGCCGTCACCCTTGCCACCGCCCTTAGCCACCTCCGCCGCCTCGACGGCGGCGCGCGCCTCGGACTTGAGCCTCTCACTGGCGTCCATCTCGCTACCGCCGCCAGTAGCAGCCGTCGTCCTCGGCGTCTGGGGCTGCGGCTCTGGGGGATGTTCGGCCTGTTCACCTGGAGCAGCACCATCAGCGTCACCTGCACCGTCCTCCGTTCCAGTACGACGCTTCTTCGCCACGAGCCTGTCGCGCATGATCTTGTGCTCCGCCTGCAGAGCCTGCCCTTTCTGGCGGACCTCGCCGAAGAAGGCACCAGCCATGTGCTTGAATGACTCGAGCATCTGCTTCTTGCGCTTCTCGGCCGCCAGCAAGGCCTCGGGCCCCAGCTCCTCGCATTCGGCGTAGCCGAACAGCCCGTCATCCTCGAGGTCGATGTTGTCCAGTTCCCCGTCCATGAGCTTGGCCAGGGAGAGCTTGAGTGGCTCCACTCTCGCATGGGCCTGGCCGCCGACTCCTGCCGCCACTTCTCCCACTGCTGCTCTGCACTCACTTTCGGCCGACTCCAACTCCACCACCAACTCCGAGACGCGAACTTTCTGGGACTCCCTGCCGCAGCAAGGAGGATAGCTTTCCGCTCTCGGTCTCCAGCTTGCCCTTGGCCTTCCGTACACGGGCATGAGCCTTGTTGGCTCGGCGCTGAGCAGGCTTCTTGTCGTCCTGCCCCTTGTCGACCTGGTCCAGTAGCTGCTGGTACTTGGCCGCTGTTGCCTTGTCCCCCGTGCGCTCCGCCATGGCAACCATGCTGCGCAGCTCCTCCTTGGACAGGGTCGCGGGGGCCACTGGCTTGGACATGATGCGAATGGCCTCGCGATACTTCTCGGCCATCTGCTTGTCACCCTTACTCTCGGCGGACTCCACCAAGGCTTGCGTGGCGTCCACACCGAGGTCAGGCACCGCAGCATCAGCAGCGCCATGCTTACCAGCGCCGCAACGCGCCGGGTCGCGGTCCCGTGACCACGGCGGCTTGGCCGAGCCACCACTGCGCTCCGTGCCGCAGTGCTTGCACCACCGCCACTGTGCCAAGTTCTCTGCACATCTGCAGTCAGGGTGCGAGCATCGCCAGTACTCACCCTCCTCCGACCTGGACCTTGACGGGGCACTGGACGACGGCCTCGACCGTGGCCTGCCCTTGCCGCCGTCACTCGTGCCCGTGCCCACGAGATGTCCGTCGCCGTGATAGTGCCGCAGGATGCGCCTCGCGCGCTCGAGCGCCAAGAGGCTGCGAGCCCTGGCTCGCCGCCTCCGCAGCCGCCTGTGCCAGGCGGGCGAGGGCGGCCGATCGCGGCGCCCTCCGTATTCCGCGACGCCCTCCGCCCCTGGGGCAAAGGGCTGGGGGCTCAGACAAAACGGGCCCCCTGCGGCCCGCGGGACTGAGCCAAAACCGCTTCGATCTCCCTGCTGGCTGCGGACCCTTGGGACGAGGAGACGAGGCGTACCTGGCAGCGCCAGGCCGTGGCGATTTTGCGCCCGCGCGTTTCCGAAGCACTCCCACATGCTCGCGGACGCCTGGATCGCTGGCCGCTGGCTCTCCCTCCGGGGCGGCGCCCTGCCAGGCTCGTTGCTGCCGGCTGGGCGCTCAGCACCGGAGGCGCGCCGCGGGTAGCAGCGGCTTTCATCCGGACAGCCTTCAACGGCTGGTGCACGGCGCGCCAGTTCCAGCAACGCGCCGTTTGCTTACTAGGGTGCCAGCGCGGCGAGGACAACATCGAGCATTATAGTCTGTGCGACGCACCATCGCTTCTGCGCTGTCCATGCCGGACTGGCCGCCCCAGCCGCCGAAGACAAGCTGGCGTGCTTCTTAAACCTTCTTAAACCTCGAGCCCTCGACCCTGAGCGGGCGCGGCGGTGCGGGAACACGTGAGCGGGCCCGGCTGTTGCGAGCTCTCACCGTGTATGCTGTCTACCGCGTGCAGGCCGCGGTCCGCACAGGGACGCTGCGCGAGGCCGAGGCGGAGGCTCTTCCTGCCATGCTGCGGGAGGGCGCGCGCGGGCGCCCTGCTTCAGAGTCGCTATTCCGCACGGCTTGCCGCCGGCAGAGTGGGTAATAGTCAGGCCGTCGCCTCCTCCCTCCCTTTTCTCCCTCCTCCGTGGTGATGTCAGTCGGAAATTTCGTTACTTTCTTGGCTTCGCGCCTTGCCCGCCAAAAGTGCGGTGCTTTGTCGGCCGTTCGTGGTCATCCACGGCGTGTCTTCGATCCCGGGGCTATTGTTTTTGGCAGTCGCGCGCTTCGCTATGATACGAATCCGAGGCTACTTTCTATCATTGTAATCTTCGTGGCTCCGCCACAGGAGGGGCAAACATTTACACTGATAGGCGTGCGAGATCGTCTGCTCCCGCTTCTTCTCCTCGTCCTCGTCGTCCTTCTCCTTCTCTCCTTCCCCCCTCTCGGTGTCGAAACTGTGTAGCCTATTTCGCTGCTGTTGCAACCCAGTCGTCATGTGGGCGCCCTGACTGACAGGCAGTCGGGCGATGACTTCTGAGGCCAATACTTCTGCACTGCATGTGTTGACGCTGTTTCGTCATTGCGAACACCAGTTCCGTTCCAGGTCATACATACGGTGTGGTCGGCACAATCCATACGCCGGAAAAAAATCTCGACTGCTTTGGAACTCTCTTGTGCTGCTCGACGCTCTCGTGAGGCCTTGCGGCCCTTTAGGTGGCCTCTTCGGCCGTCTGGGGCCGCTTTGGGGGGCCTTGGGGGCCGACGTGGCCGCCGAGAGGACAAAGAAGCGAACATCCTGGAATTGTACGTGCTTCCATATGGAATGCTGTTTTTTTTCCCTTTGGGGGGCCTTCTCGGCGGCCTCGTGGACCGCCTTGAGGGAGTCCTTTAGGGCCTTTGTTGGCCCGTCTGGGGACCCACTTCGGCCGTTCTGGGGTCCTTCTTGGCCCGGCATGGGGAGCTGAGCCCGTCTTGGGGCCTTCTTGGGGCCCTCTCCGATCATGTCAGGATCCTCCGGTGGCCCCCTCGGGACTCTCTTGGGCCGTCTTGGAGCTCCCTTATGCTGCTTGAAGTTATCTTGAGGCCGTCTTGGTACCCTCTTGGGGGCCTCTTGGGCCGTCGAGGTTCCATTTCGGAAGTCTTAGGGGCCGTCGCGGCCGCTCTCAGGATTGAAAGGCGAATCTCCCGGGTTATACGTTTTCCCATCAGAAAAAATGTTGATGTTTGTCTTTGGGGGCTCGGCGGCCGTTCGGACTGTTTTCAGTGCCTTTGTGGCCGACTAGGAGGACGATAGCAGCGTTTGTTTCGGACTCCGCGTGGTTCGTTCGACCTTGAACGACATGCTGCCTTCCGATTGCCAGAACTGTCCATGTTGGCCGATGCCACTGGCGGCGGTCAGCCGTGCAGCCCGAACGCCTGCGGCGGGGTCGCCGCGGCGCCACCGCGACGCGAACCCACCCGCTTTCAGGGCGACCCCAAGAGGGCCCAAGGATCCGCGCATGATCTCGACACGTTTTCCAGCAGGCCGCAGGGAAGCCTCAAGGTGGCCCAACAGATATGCAGCGGGCGATCGAGGGATGGTTCGATGACCCTCCGATGGCCCGCAGGCAGGCCCAAAGTGGTCGAAGCAATGCCAGAAGACGACACCATGACCCCAGCGTGGCCCGAATGCGCTCTCAAAGAGACTCCAAGACAACGTCAATGCGAACTCAACCTGTTGGATTTGCTTTCCGCCCCGGATTTTTGGGAATCCTATTTGTTACGGGTGGGATTTCGAAGGGACCATTGACCTTGCATTGTCATTCTGCATCAGGGGAGCGGGATCCTGGCCAGACCACGCAAGACGGATGTTCTGCTGGGCTTCTAAGGGAGCAGGGGAATCCAATGCCTCCTGAACCCTCGTTCCACTCAGGGCTGCCGTCGCAGTGAGCCCGTGTTTGCGAGCAACATATGCGTTCGAGCGCATTTGCAACAATTCGAGGAATTGCCCGCACGGCGATGTACAACTACGCATATCTATGTGTGCATGTGTTTGCTTGTGCGTGTGTGTGTGTGTGTGCGTGTGTGTGTGTGTGTGTGCGTGCGTGCGTGCGTGCGTGTGTGTGTGTGTGTGTGTGTGTGTGTGTGTGCGTGCGTGCGTGCGTGCGTGCGTGCGTGCGTGCGTGCGTGTGTGTGTGTGTGTGCGTGTGTGCGTGTGTGTGTGTGTGTGTGTGTTTGTGTGTGTGTGTGTTTGTGTGTGTGTGTTTGTGTGTGATTGCCAGGGATTGTGCGTCTCTCGCCGCAGCCTGGCTCAAGTGTATTTCGGAGGCGTGGCTGGGCCGTGCGCGGGACGACTTCAGCGACGGCGCCTGGCGGCAGCCCTGGCGGTGGCGTGCCGCGCGCGTGCCGCGCGCCCCCCTCCCTGCTCGGGGAACACGTCAACTGACGGCGTCACCGATCTTGGCCGGGCCCATCCTGGGCCCACGACCAGTTCACACGTCCCGATCCTCCAGGATGGGCCCGCCCTGAATCGTTGAGGTGATGATCTGACGCCCCCCGACCTGTGCAACCTCCGCGGCGGCTCTGGCGGCGAATGGCTGGTGAGGGCGACGCGTCCGCGGGGGGCGCCAGGCTGGAGGCGGAGTACGGGCAGTTCTTCTCGGCGGCTGCAATTGGCGCGGATAGTTCAGGAGCGGGGCTCCAAACGCTCATGCCTTCGACGAGCCCCCCCTGGCGAGAACTATCCTGCCAGCGTGTGCCCCTCGGGCGTTTCTGATCCCCCGATGGCCCTCAGGACCAACAGATACTCTGGGGCTCCTCAGGGCCCTCAAGGATCCAAGAGAAATGTGCCCCAAGATCGTGCGTGCCTACTGTGCGTGTGATGCCCGCCGACGAGCTATCCGCTCCTCTTGCCTCCGCCGATCTTCCTGTCCAACCTGCGGCCGCCGCGCTCCGCCTGCTCCGCCAAGGCGGGGGGCCCGGCTGGTCTGGAGGTCTGCGCGGTCGGCGCCAGGCCCGCCGGGGAGAGCGGCCTGAGCGCGGGGGAGCGCGGTGGGCCGTGCGGCCCGCGGAGCTCAGGGGCAGCGATACGGGGCGGATAGGCCTGGGGGGGGGCGCCTCGCCGCCAGGGGTCTGATAGCCCCATCTCGCACAGGAACGTGCGGATTCGCTATCGGGGGCCCATCGCCGATCCATCGGTGATGTATCGCCGATTCCAGATCGATGTTACCCCCCTTCTGCCAGTCCCCCCCGATCGTTGCCCCTCAGGAGCTGCGCTGGTGGCGTCGCCCTCCCCGCCCTCCCGGCGGCCAGGCCGGCGACGCAGCGGCTGAAGAAGCCCTTCTTCCGGGACTGGGGTGATTTCATGCGGTGCGACGCGGGCGAGAAGCACAGTACGCCGATTACCTTTGGCGAGTTCGAGCTGCTGCTGGAGAAGGAGCGAGAGCCGTGCGAGGGCTGGGACCAGCCGCACGTGCCGTGCCCATCGGCCGCCAAGGAGATCAGAGTGGCCAAGCGGTCGAACGGTCCCGGCCTGATCACCCTACGGGCGTGGGCGACTGTGCCGGGGGTCGACATCAACGTGGCTTTCACCCTCTTCTACGGCAAGGAGCGTATGAAGTGGGACAAGGTTTTCGCCCAGATGGAGGTTCTCAGAGACGACATCCAGGGCTCGGAGCTTCTCTACAGCGTCCTGTCGCCGCCAGTCTATGGCGTGCAGGCCCGCGACTTCCTGCAGTTCCGCCGGGTGCGCCAGCAGGAGGATGGCTCTGTCCTCATTGTGCTTCGTTCGGCGGAGCACCCCGATCGCCCTGAGGACAGAAGGTACATCCGCGCGGAGTCGTACTTTTCTGGCTACGTGCTCCGACAAGAAGTCGACAGCTCGGGACTGGTCCTCAAGATTTTCCTCATGAGCTGCGTAGACATCAAGGGCTCCATCCCGAAGTGGGTCGTCAACTCTCTCGCCCCGAGGAACCGGCCACGCGTAAGAGTGACCCTTCGCCGGAGTGACGTTTTGGTGCGGGCCCACTGGGGTCTCCCGATCGCTGGCAGCGATGCGGCAGCAGCGCCTTGCGCCCTCTGGTTGGACACCCCAGCGCCCCCTGAAAGCCGCGCACCAAAGGTCACTCTTGCCTAGGGTCATTCTTGAGTGTAGCCGAAGGAAGCCTTCCGAGTGGATCGACAGCCTCGCCAAGGCCGTTCACGGGCGGCGGGCGGGCGGGCCGCTGCAAGACATGCGCCGCTTCGCGGAGCACCACGCCTTCGACTACGAGGCGTGCGACGCCGGCTCCGACGAGGGCGCACCCCCTGCCGTGGGGCCCCCGAGCACTGCGCCCGCGGTGCCCCTGGATCCTGTGGTGCCCGTGGCGCTCCCCGCTGCACCCCTGGAGGAGCCCGCCATGCTCAAGGGGCCCGTCGCGTTCAAGGCGGCCTCCTTTCACGCGTTCTTTCACTCTTTCAAACTTTCGCTCTCTCTCTCTCTCGCCCTCGCTTTTTCTTTTCTCTCTCTCTCTCTTTCTCTCTTTCTCTCTCTCTCTCTCTCTCTCTCTCTCTCTTTGTCTCTCCCAAGCATGAAGAAACGTGCAAACACGAATGATCATAAGATCTATCGCAGCGGTGCTAATATCAATGGCACGCTATTCATAGTAATACCATGAAGAAAAGCTTTGGTAACAAACAGCAGCACAACATGGGAGTAGCTAGTCATAGTAATGAGTTCTTGCTGACACTCTGAATATTCATTATTATGAAGAAAAGCTGAGTAACATAGATCGCGTTCGTACTTAGAAAGCGAGCGGGGTAATGCGGACGCAGCTAGTCATAGTGCTAAGGAGCGGCAGTCATATTCATAATGAGGATCATGGGAACACGCATGTATGATATTGTTCACCTGTAGCGCATTCTAACACTTCCCCAAACAGTGCTTACACTGAAGAGCTCTTGGGAATTGAATGGGTCAAGCGAGGATGTTCCACATTGCCGCCCGTGGCTGCCTCGTGGCCGCCTCGTGCGCTGAGTTGGACTAGCGAGGTTTCGCCACTTTGCCCCCCGTGGCTTCCTAGTGCGCTTGGGTTGGTCCGGCGAGGTTTGGCCACGCTGCCACCCGTGGCCGCCTCGTGGCCGCCTGGTGCGCTGGGTAGATCTGCGAGGTATCGCCACGTTGCCGCCCGTGGCCGCCTCGTGCGCTGGCTGGGTCTGAAGAAGTTTCGCCACGTTGCCGCCCGGAGTCGTCTCGTGACCGCTTCGTGCGTTGGGTTGGTTTGGCGCGGTTCGCCACGTTGCCGCCAGTGGCCGCCTCGTGACCGCCTTGTGCGCTGGGTGGGTCTGGCGAGGTTTCGCCACGTAGTTTCCTGTTGCAGCCTCGTGGCCGCCTCGTGCGTTGGGTGAGTCTGACGAGGTTCCGTCACGTTGCCGCCCGTGGCCGCCTCGTGGCCGCCTGGTGCGCTGGGTGACCTGGCGAGGTTTCGCCATTTTGCCGCCTGTGGCCGCGTCGTGCGCTGGGTGGGTCTGGCGGGGTCTCGCCACGTTGCCGCCTCGTGGCCGCCTCTAGCTTGCATCACGTATATTTGTCACCACATAGCTTACTCAGCTCAGCTTACATCACATGGCTTACACTCTATAGCCCTCACCTTCATCTCACACCGCATAGCTTACACGACATAGCAACATAGTTTTCACCGTATAGCTTACATTGCATGGTTTGAAAGAGCGCGTTCTGTGGTCGCTTGGAGGGGGGGGTTGGAGCCCCCCCTCCCCCTCCCTCGATCCTCCCCTACTCCTCCTCTTTCCCTCTCTTCGGGCTGGCGCCGGCGTCTCCAATGCACCAATGCAGCGTGCCGCGGTGGCGGCCCGCGGAAGTTGCCGCGTGAGGTCGCTGTGCCATCTCGCGTGAGATCGTTCTTGATCCTCGCTCGTGTGGGCTTCGAGCCCCTCCGCCGGCCTTCTGAGGGGCATCTGTGAAGCCTCCTGGGTGCCTCTTGAGCGCTCGGAGCCTCTCTGAGGTGGTGTTGGTGGTGGTGGTGGTGGTGGTGGTGGTGGGTTGTGGTGGTGGTGGTCGTGGTGGTGGCGGTGGTGGTGGAGGGGGTGGTGGTGGTGGTGAGGTGGTTGTTGGTGGTGGTTTGTGGTGGTTTTGGTGGTTGATGTGGTAGCGGTGGTGGTGGTGATTCCGTGGTTTGTGGTGGTGGCGGTGGTACAGTACTTGCGCTGGTGGGTTGTGGTGGTGGTGTTGGTGGCGGTGGTGGTGTGGTGGTTTGTCGTGGTGGTTGTGGTGGTGGTAGTGGTTGTGCCGCGACGTACTTTGTGGTGGGGGTGGTGGTGGTGGCGGTGGTGGTGGCGTGGTGGTGGTGATGGTGGTGGTCGCGTGGTGTCTTTTTGTAGTGGTGGTGGTGTGTTGTGATGGTTGTGGTGGTGGCGGTGGTGGTGGTGGTGTTGGTGTGGGGGTTTGTGGTGGTGGTGGTGGTGTGTTGTGATGGTGGTGGTGGTGGTGGCGGTGGTGGTGGTGGTTATGGTGTGGTGGTTTTGGTGGTGGTGGTGGCGGTGGTGGTGGTGGTGGCAGGTTGTTGTGGTGGTGGAGATGGTGGTTGTGACGGTGGTGGTGGTGGTGGTGGTGGTGGTGGTTGTGGTTTGTGGTCGTGGCGGCGGTGGTGGTAGTGATGGTAGTGTGGTGGTTTGTGGTGGTGGTGGTTTGTGGTCGTGACGGAAGCGGAGGTGGTGGGGTGGTGGTGTGTGGTGGTGGTGGCGGTGGTGGTGGTGGTGGTGGGTTGTGGTGGTGATAGTGGTGGGGGTGGTTGTGGTGGTGGTGTGGTGGGTTGCTGTTGTGGAGGTAGTGGTGGTGGTGGGTTGTTGGCTGTGGTGTGTGGGTGGCGGTGGTGGTGGTGGTGGTGGCATGGTGTTTTGCGGTGGTGGTGGTGGTGGCGGTGGTGGTGGGTTGTGGGTGGTTGTGGTGGTGGTGGCGGTGGTGGTTGTGGTGATGGTGGTGGTGGTGGTGTGGTGGTTTGTGGTGGTGGTGGTGTTGGGTTTCGGGTTGTGGTGCGTTGTGGTTAGGGTGGTGGTGGTGGTGGTGGCGTGGTGGTTTGTGGTGGTGGTTGTGCGGTGGTTTGTGGTGGTGGTTATTGTGGTCGTGGTGGTTAGTGGTGGGTGGTGGTGGTTGCGGTTGTGGTGGTGGTGGTGGTGTGCGGTGGCGGTGGCGGTGGCGGTGGTGGTGGGGATGGTTGTGCTGGTGGTGGGTTGTGATGGTTGTGGTGGCGGTGGTGGTGGTGGCGGTGGTGGTGGTGGTGTGGTGGTTTATGGTGGTGGTGGTGGCGGCGTGGCCTTCGGGTCTTCCCGTCACCGTGTCTTGGCTTTGGGTTGTAGTTCCAATGGGTGCCTTCTGTGGTCTCGTTAGAGAGGTCCCGTGGGCGTCTGAGGAGCATGTGGGCACCTCTTGGGCGTCTCTGGGAACTTCCTAAGGGCCACGGGTGGCTTTTGGTGAGCAAAGGCTCGATATGGCAATTTGTATTTTCCAGTGGCGGCATTCTCTGGTCATCGTCGCTGCTGCTGCCGTTGGTGCTGCCCCCTCCGCCAGCGCAGGCGCCAGAACCGGCACCGAGGAACGAGGAGGGGGGCCGGGGGGGGGTTCGCCCCCCCTCCCTGGGAAGCCTGAAGGGAAAAACATGGGTGGAGTTAGAATCTCTTGCTCCTTTCCCGGCAGAGGGGGAGGGTTCGGGAGTCATGGCGCCAGAGACGGGGCACAGCAAACGGGGGTACGGGGAACGCCGATTTCCACGTTTGGCTATGCCCCCGTTTATGGGACCTTGGGCGCCGTAAATGGGGGTACAGTGAACGGGGGTATATGGAAAAGCCTAAGCCCGCCTTTAGCAAAACCCCTGTTTACGAAGCCCCGAGGGGGCGGGGGGGTTAGGGTGAGGGGGGACCCCTTGGTTCTGATCGACGTCGTCGAGTGTTGGGGGGGCCCACCCCCAGGTTCGAAGCGCCTTAACACGCTCTTTCCATGATTTCAATTGATTCAGTTCACACCACACAGCTTTCACGACGTAGAATCTCCTTACAACAAAAAAAAACACAGGTTCTACCACCCTCCCCCCGGGGTTAAAGCTTCACTTCTCGTATTGCAATTTGCATATGTTTCTGCCCCATCGTCCATCCTAGCAGTGAACTCACACGATCCCAGCCAAACCGGTATCGCCCCCCCCCCCCCCGCCATCCTCAGCAAACAAAATTCTATGCGCGCGCACTCGTTTATCCAAAAACATTACTATTCAATACTCCCACATGGGACGACATGCGCACGCGCGCGTCGTCGCGCGCATGCCGAAATCCTTCAAACAACCTGGGTTTCGGAAGGAGTTCAACATCGAATTTCCAAGCCACATACAAAAACACAGGGTTTCGCAACACGGATGTTTTGAAACAGCTTACGCGCGCGCTCTTGCGAAATCTTAAGAAAGCCAAGAAGTAAATATGATCCTCTCCGCCTCATCTTACACTTGCGTCTCTCGCTGCCTTCCTTGCCACACCCTGACACTGCGGCTTTGCACCGCAGCTATTTGTGCTTACAGGAGATAAGAGCAGCGTGCTAGCTCGCACGCGCGCGCCGAGGGGTCGCTCCCTCATCGTAGTCGGGTCGTCGGCCGGCCGGCCTCCTCCCTTACCACTCCTGAGTGCAATTGCTTAACGGTTTCTTGTAGTTGCATCGATGACTCATCCCGTAACCTCTACTACCGATTGGAGGGTGAAAGTGGGGGTCGGCCGCAGGGTCCCGGCAATGATGCTTCTATGGGCCATGAATGGGCGATGCATCCTCGATTGCTGTGTTCGGCGGGGGAACTAATGGACGCCCCCCGCCTGCACCCGCGCGCGAGACTTGAGAGGAAAGGAAGCAAAGGGGCGGGGGGCTCGGGAAAGGCGACGAAGGCAACGCGCGCTGAGGGCGCAAAAGGAAAAGGCTGGAACACACGAAAGCGGTCAGGTGAGTGTCGAAATCTGCCCAGCCAATCTGACATGCGGAACAAGACGCCTCAGCGTTGGGGATCTTGAAGGCCAGGGCAAAATGTGAATTCACATTGTGGGGAAAAGCAAAATGTGAATTCACATTTGGGAAAAAAAAGGAAAATGTGAATTCACATGTTGGAATTTTGTGTAGGATGTTTTTATGAAAGGGGCCAGAATGTGAATTCACATTTCGGGAAAAAGGAAAATGTGAATTCACATTTTGGGAAAAAGGAAAATGTGAATTCACATTTTGGGAGAAAAGTGGCCCCCATTCCAAATCTGTCTTGGGGGTCGAGAAGTCATCGTTTGGGAACATACACGGTCATCAATCGCACAATCAAGACACACTTGCACTACACTTCGCTGCCCCACGCGCAATATGCAAGAACCCCCGCACGCATGAACGATAATGGATGGACGGCGCGTGCGCCCGCGC